AAGCTTTTCCAATGATCGGTTAGTTTATTTAACGGTGATATCACAAGGTAGAATATATCTCAAGTAACCGTATCAGTTTAAATAGCTCTAACACAAAAGCTTTTCCAATGATCGGTTAGTTTATTTAACGGTGATATCATATTTGAATGAATAATGTTATCAAACCGAATAAGTATTTAGCGAACATCCAGTATTTTTATGTTTTACTTTACAGTACATACAAATGCATTTATACTAACATACACCACTATATATTACAGTAGAATTAAGCAATTAATTTCCGTTGTCGATCCTAGTTGTCAACTTAAAGTCATAACGTATAATTCTTGTGGTCATAGCACCCAAATGCTTTGGGAATATTCCATCTATCAGAGAAAATCCAAATGCTGATGTTAAGCTAGCCAGTATTCATGGGAGATCAGTTAAGTTAAGGGTACTGATATGAGTGCTTATACCCAGTTATGAAAAGGCAGTTAAAATGTATTATTATTTTTTAATTAAAAATGTTTTTAACAGTCTTTAGCAATAGTAATTCTTTTAGAGATAATATTTTATTATTTTGTATTTAAACTGACAGGTAATGGATAAAAGGATTGGCGATTTAAAAAATTATTTATACTTTTTTTATAATATATACGAAAATATTTTAAAAATAAACTCTTGCTTATGGAAAATACTTTATAGAGAAATTAGAGGTTGTTAGTTACTCAAGACTATCCTTGGTTTATGAGTTACTAACTTCATAAATAGAATTTTATTCTGTATACAAGGACAGAAAAAAGTAGCTGGGCTTGTCTCAGCTTTCCCCCGTTATACTTGAACAAATCTTCAAGAGAACGGGAGGAGGGAGATTGGGAGTAAGAACTATTAAGTTAGGATTTTTAGTTCTGTTTAAAATAATTTTGTTCTAATTTTGTTTTAATTCTACTGTAATGCTTGTTTTACATTAAGTTATTTATTGTCTTATAGTACTGATTCAATCGCCTATTGACAATTAATCTAACTAATAGTATCAGAATTATTTATATATATAAATATACATACATATTAAACGTTCATATATGATATTACACCTTTACTGTATTTCAATATGTACACATACAATCTATGAGTACACCAAAAAAGCTCCCCAGTGGCACAGCGGTATGTCTGCGGACTTACAACGCTAGAAACCGGGTTTCGATACTCGTGGTGGGCAGAGCACAGATGGCCCATTGTGTAGCTTTGTGCTTAATTCCAAACAAACAAATACAACAACAACAAAAAAAAAAGATTAACTGATTATGTAAAAACAAATAGTGACTAGACACTAGTTTTAACAGTTCTATTTCATACGTATGATATATTGAGTTGAGTTTTACTCACCAGAGTGAACTTAGAATTTTATAGAATTCGAAGAATGTATATAATTTATGATACTAATTTATTCCCTTGAATTATTCAGCATAAAATATACCATTTATTATTCCAATCACCACTTGTCATTGAGTCGCATCAGTTTAGGGTAACTACGCCCCTCATAAGTAACTTTGGACAAGGACATTTCGAGAGAGCAGGACGAATCTTTATATAGTGGTTGACTGTGTAATACAAGTATGATGAACCTATATATACTGTATTTGAAGATTGTATAATTCCACCCCTCAACAAACATCACACATATAATGTATACTCCATCATTTTACACTTGTCCAGGGTTACTGATAAGAGTTCTATTATGATCTGTTATCACTTCTATCTTATCATATCACTTGGCAGAAGAAAGGTTGTAACTCTCTGTTTGCTCTCCAGCCATTTTGATGGAATGAAATTGCGTCTTAACTACCTAACTGATGATAGATTGATTTCCCCGAATTAGGTGCAGCTCAAAGTGGTTAATCAGATAAAAGATTGAACTTCATATCTATTTTCAGTTTTATTTCAGTATGTTTTGTGGATCTTCATGTTAGATCGTTTACGTTGAAGACCATAAATATTATTGATGTTATACTAAGAATCTTCTTCGTTTAGTTGGTTTAAGGATTTCCATCTCCACTTCTTTGTATTTTTCAGAGTTACAACATACATTTTAAATCACCTTTGCACATTAGTATCAAATTTTATGTATTTCATGTAAAAATTCTGAACAAAATATATTGTATTTATGAATAAAAATATCATATTATTTCAAACCTTTTGGAAGAAGTTTCTCTCATTTTCAAAGACATCACTTTCGTCCCTATTTGATTAAGCTAATTTACTTTATATAGTTTAAAAAAAATAGCATACTCTTTAAGTGTCGACAAAGTCAGAGGTTAATAATAAATACTTTTATGGTTGCAGAACGAGTACATTTGATATTAGTATTTATAGATGGACGAACTTATTATCTGTTTCAGTTGGTTCATCATCGTAACTCTGCTGGAAGATTGTCCAAACTAAATAAGACATGTCCGATTCATAAAAACACCCTCAAGGTGCAGGATGTTACTGATATGACAGAGGACGATGGCACCGACGACCACGACGGAGACGATTCAATAAACTTTTCCAGAATGCTACCTGTCGCCTCGGAAGAACTCGCTAGATCGATCGATCGTATTTGTCGCTTTTTATTTCCTTCAATATTCTTACTTTTCAACATCATTTACTGGGTCACTTGGGTTCAACATTAATTATCGGTGGTAAGACATATGGTTCATAAATACTACTATTATGAATCTTCGAGTTACAAAATCACTTATAGCTCAATTATTATCACTTTAATACACATTTGTTAAGAATTTACATCAAACTGCAGTTCCAATAACAGCAACTTTATTCTTTTGAAATAAAGGGGTAATAAGTTGTGTGTGCTTACAACAAGTGCACCAAATTTCTTGATTTGTAAGGCTTATTTAACAATAGTTATCATTTTTACAAAAATGATCATGAAAGGCCAGTTAGTTTATTGGTATTAAGCCTATTGAAAGTAAGTTTAATGATAATGAAAGGCCAGTTTGTTTATTAGTATTAAACCTATTGAAAGTAAGTTTAATTATCATGAAAGGTAAGTTTGTTTATTGGTATTAAACCTATTGAAAGTAAGTTTAATGATAATGAAAGGCCAGTTTGTTTATTGGTATCAAGCCTATTGAAAGTAAGTTTAATGATAATGAAAGATCAGTTTGTTTATTAGTATTAAACCTATTGAAAGTAAGTTTAATTATCATGAAAGGCCAGTTTGTTTATTGGTATTAAAACTAATTAAAATAGGATTTAATTGATTTTAATAATACAGTGCAGTCAACAGCTTAAAATATAGCCTTCTGTAAAGAAATGGCTAAATATAAGAGGTTTTCATAATGTCGTTCGTGTCGGTATTTAGCTAATTCGGAGATATCATTTTAAAGTACATGAAATTAAATGTTTATATTTCAAAGTGCTGATCACAATCACGAGAAACCTGACAAACTTTATTGAAAATAAACCCAATTTCATTTCACTTCATACAAAATTATTTGTTGCTCTAGTCACTAGTGTTTCACAAGTTTTGTGTGCAAATTTATGGCTAGGAATACTGTGCGATTTCAAACTTTGTTCTCTTAAACTTAATACATAAGCCTTAATTGCACCACAATGACACAAGCGGCATTATGAAACTGTAAAGTGTATTGCTTTAATGTTAATAAAAAAGAATATTGTAACCAAGGTTAAAATGAATTTCACATTGCAAGGCCGAGAATTAATTTGTTGATATATATTTTTGCAAATAATAATCATTAGTATTTGATATGTGGGAAGTTTTCAATTCGTAAACTTCAATGAAAATTATAATTAAGCCTTACTTTGCTTAGGCATAATTAGTAGGCCTTAAAGCTAAAACTGTTATATTTGAGTACTGTTAGGCCTCCTAAGTTCATTAGGCCAAACCAAAGATTCTATATCACTGAGACTTTCTATCTCCACAAGGGTAACGAAATTTGAACTTCGCCATCTGATGGGTGATTAGATAGCAATTACAAGCCGCTTATATTAATCGTACACCACACTTTATGACATGTTCGAGAGTTAACAGCTTACAATTAGGAATATTATTATGTTATCATATAATATATATTTTAAATTAAATTTTATGAAATAGGGAAATATTTCAGCTGTTTGTCAGTCATAAAATACTCCATTAAAATCTATAAATGTAAACAAGTGATTCGATGGAGACATTGTTGATACACAGGATTAATTGCACAGTAAAACATTTAATATGATACAAAGCAGTTAATTACCGTGAAAAATGGATTTCACAAAAATTTTAACTTCGAATTCTCACGATTCTGTTTATTACCAGTACAAATTTCATAATTAGAAATAGTTGATATTTCAAGGTATAGTGTGCTTAATAGAGTGATATCATATCTGAGGCATCGTTCTTCTCTACACTTGGTTAGTCAGTCCTCGCGGGTGACGATGTAACACTGTTTGAGTATAGAGTAACTGGGAAGACTATTGTGAAAGTTATATTCCCCGTACGTGTTCATAACGCACATTTTAAACGTTAAAATTGAATTACACGCTATCTCTTGATAACTAATATTCGTCGAATGTGCGTAGGAAAATTCAGTAGGTGTAACAAATATTGGGAAGAAACAAAGCAATGCTCATGAGTTAAAACGAGAAAACTTAACGCAATGAATATTTAGAGCGATTTATCAAACATTACAAATCATGTCATCCACTTTGTTAGATTCTATTCATATAAATAATGAACGTATTATATGTGTATACATGCAGAGGCTCTTTGTACGACAGCTTACTTAAGTATCAGCCCACAGCGTTGTTTTTGCGTTATTTCTGGCAGTTATTTATATTTAAAAATAATTATTTCCGAAGAAATAATTACTAATCTAGGGTGCTCGAAAATTAAACAATCCTCCTTCACCCCGCGCGTGGCCTAGGAATATGGGCTTAACTTGAGAAAACAGGAAATTAATGCAGATAAGGTATGTAAATTTAAAAAGGTAAACGTGAGAGTAAAGGTAAGATAAAAAAGTGAAGAGGAAAGTAGACTAAACTAAAATGGCCGATATCGGACTGATGGTCCATCAGGGCGGCGGGGATCTAAAAATCCTATGCCGAGAATTTAATGTGGGGGGAAACGGGAGTACCCCGAGAAAACCCACTTTCACTGGTAACGATCGAATTCGTTACCAGTGCCTGGTTAGCGAGAAGAAATAAGTGGGAAAGGCAAAGTGAAGTCTGGTGCTGGGGGTTGATTAGCTTTTGAATGAGTTGTGGAGTCTCCTGGTGTTCATCTTGGTTTTCTTATTGAATAGGTTCCGGTTCCAGGCAAGTGGTAAAGGCGTGGAGTCCTCGGTGTCGTTGGTTAGTGGGCGGAAGGCACAGAAAGGTTCGTCGGGTAGGTAAAGATCGGGGGAGGTGTCAATTACTAGGGCGTTCAGTGAGCTTGACGCCGATGAAGTAGAAAGTGGCTTGGGGCTGGGAGGCGGTTTGTTGGTTTGTTGATAGGCGTCGTTGGAAACTGTGAAGACTTGTGGCTGGGTCTGGGTGCCTTTTTTTCTTCTAGTAATGGTGGTTTGGGTTGACATGTCTTGTGATTCAGGAGTGGGTGAGGTTTGAGTGGCTTGGCCTAT